GTAATGCATACTGTATATACAGGGTGGGTATAAGAGTCAGTGTCAAAGGGGGTTCCGGGCCTTGTTAATGAATCCAGCTGCAGACAGGAAGAAACTGTTGTTATGGCGAGAGGTTTTAGTCCTGATGGATAGTGAAATATATGGTTCACAAAGGTTGAGTTGCATGTTTTAAAACTTTCCTTTGTCTTATTCCGTGGAAAAAGTTAAGAGTGCAGCAAGGGAGGACTTGCACAGAACAGAAAAGGGATCTGGATTATAAATATTTCTATCAGATACATTACAGGTCTGTACAGACAGTGAAAGAAATGTGAAAAAGTGCAATTGTTTCATCTTGGACTTTTGCACTCCCACACAAATCTGCAACACAAATGAATGGGACATCTACTCCATGGGTCAACTCTGTGAATACTAAGGCATCGCTGGATGTGACAGCCCCAGTGATTCATTACAAACAGCAAGAGATTGACCCAGTAGAAAGGATACTCCAAACTAAGAGCAATAAAAGGTATCTGAAGAAATTGGAGGCAGCTTAGATTTAGAATTAATGAACCTAAAAGTTGGTTGATCCTGATCCTGAATCCGCTGTTACAAGACACTTCAGATGGCAATTATTCTATCTCGGATTTGTCATTCTGTGGCACTGACGTGATGATGTGTAATATACCAGCATGTGTTATATTCTTCTAATGTGTTTGTAATTACTTTGTAATTGGCTTCGTGTGTGTTCAATTAAGCCCTAGATCATTGACTATGCACCCCTTGAGTAAACCATATATTGGGTGACTCATCATGCGTGACTCACTTTGCACTGAGGTCCAGTATGAACTGAAACGTGCTCTTTTACACTCTCTGCACATTTCTTCACTGTCTGTACGTCCCTGTAATATATCAAATAGAAATACTTAAAATCCAGACTTCAGTGTGAATCCCTTTTTTGTTCTGTGTCGGTGAGTGCTCCCTTGTTGCGCTATAAAATTGACATATGACACAAGATAAACACACTAAAAGTTCAAATAACTTATTAGTGGTTCTGAATAAAGAGAGATTTTATGTATTGCACTTTTCAAAGCAAACTGTTGGAAAGTTTACATTTATATTTTACTTTTATTTATTAATAGCTTAACAAGGACAGTACAGATAAACTGTTTATATGATATAGAAATCACTGTGATCTGTTGATGAAATGACCACAATTTGTTGATCATAATAAAGAGTTACCTGTACTTATACATGGTAGATATACAACAGAATAAAGGTTTGTACACTTAAAAAGAACTAAACTAAATTTAGTTTGAGATACAATGTGGAAAAAAAAACCTCATCTGAAAGATTCTGACTGTTAAAAGACAAATGGAGCCAGAACATGTGGCATTTAGTTTGACATTCAAAACTGAATTTGTCATTTGAACAATAAAACCTTTTCAATAACTGCATAACTCACTTTGATGAAAAGTGCTCCTGCAATTAATTCAAAGCAGATTTATGATCTATGATCTATCACAGAAAAGCGACGTCCATCAGGGAGAACCTCACCAATCATGCACCAACATCCCTCGCAGTCGGATCCCATTCACTGTTAATGTCTAATGCTTACCAGTGAACAAAGTGTGGAGAACAATGTAGAACGAGATGACACCTGTGACAGTGCATGTACCTGAAGTCACATGATCAGCAGGCAGTCTATGAATGGTTTCACCTCTCTGCTTTTTATTTCAAAATAAAAGCACAGTATTATCTAAGATAGGATTAGCAAATCAGTCCTTGAACTGCTTTCAAAGAACCAAATTCGCTAGATGAGAATGATCAGGATAATTTCAGAGCCCAGACTGACGATTGATGAGTGACGTTTTAGAACATTTTGAGCACAAAAAATGAACAAATGGCATGATTATAATTTCTATCTCTTTAATACAAAAGCTTCTTTATTCAACAGTTGAGGGGCAGTACAAGCTAAGCTTCATAACCAGTACTATCATGGATTCTGAAGTGAAATTAAATTAAGGACTTTACGCTATAATGACCAGTAAAATTGGAAGAAGACACAAACACACAGCTCTGTGTCGTCCCAAACGCATACATGCATTCACAAAGAGGCAGCTCTACTAGAGGCTAATTCTATTAGCCAGTTATTCACAAACATATCATGTCAACTTAAGCAATAACATCGCACAGAGTGAAAGCTATGAACCAGCTATAACAAGTTAACCATCTTAGACAAACTGTTGTAATTTAATGTTGGGTTACTTTTTCTGTCTTTTCTTGTATGCACAGATGCTCAGCTGTGTTCACTGTACATTGGACTAGTGACACTTGTTCCACTTTGTGAGGTGTTCAGAGTGTTACGAAAGGATGAGCATAACTTTCTAGGATATCACAGACTTATTTGATTGGATGCCAATAAGCCAATCACAGTGTACCACATCATTTAAAGTGGACTGCAGTAGAGGCATAGCCCATTATAGTCTATTATCTATTATTGAAATGGACAGAATAAGTAACACATAATTAAGTATTTTAATAATTTTTCAAGTTTCAAGTTCATTTAGTGTAGAAATCCAACATTTTCCACCGTTTTATTTGTAATTGGAACATAATTGGGTTCAGAGAAAATAATTGTTTTGGAGACAAAACTTACCAGTGATGTTGCCTCATGTACATAATGCATTTTCTTCATCTGTTTTTCACTTTTTTCATAGTGCATTGGCTGTAAAGTGTAAATTAAATCAAAAACAGTAACAAAAATAATCACAACAATTATACTTACTTATTGCTATTAATAATAACAAGTCATATGTTATAATGTATCTAATAAAATATTGATTCATAATAGGCCTAAAAGGTTAATAAACATCAAAACAACGTATCTTAGCAGTGCTTAAGTTGAGGCCTGTTTAAAGGCAACAGAATTCCCTCTGAAGTGCATACCTCTGTGTGTGTGTGTGTGTGTGTGTGTGTGTGTGAGCGTGAGAAAC